GGATTCTATGATTCTATGATTCTGTTTATACTCTTGACAGCAATTCAAAGGTCTTGTGTGTGCTCTGCTTGTAGGGAGACCATTGCTCTGTGAGGCATCAGTTGTACAACAGGCTTGGTCTGACTCTTCCAATTTCAAGTATGCTGGGATGAGGAGGGTGGTGGAAACAGTCCCATTAAAGCTTGTGGTGCAGTGTTGCTGTCAGGGGTAATTCTCTGGTGATCTTTCTGAACCTGCAAAAAGCCAGGTGTGTGTTTACTTCTACCAACAAAAAATGACTTCATTAGGACAGCTTGTTTCAGCTGGAGCAAGTGACTTCTGCAGTGTAAGCTCTTTGCTCTTGCCTGTACCAGCACAAACATGCCTAGTCTGTAGTCTAGAAGACTAAACAGTGGAATGACACTTGTTTTTTTTTTTTTTTTTGACAGCTTTACTTACTTTTTGGTTAAATAAGTAGGTTGGAAATGCTGAAGTGGCATTATTCACTGGTTTGGCACGGAAGGGCTCTCAATCTGCTTGAAGGGCACCCTGGTTTACAATATAAATGCTAAAGTATATGCAAGTAGCATTTTTAAGGTTGTTTTTTTAACTTGTATTTTTTTAATACACAGCTTTAGGAAAGAGGTTGGTGAATTTTTTTAATAAAAAAGAGTAGGAAGAGTCTCACCACCTCACTTTGTGTAAATGAAGATGTCCTTTCTGTTGTTCACTGTGAATTATAGACATTGCATACTGTAACTTTTATGACCTTGTTTTACTAATAAGTGCTTTTTAGCCATGGTGAGTAGCTAATATATAAACCATCTAATTTAGATGATGCGTATGTTCTGTTAGCAAATCCAGATTCAGCAGACAAAGGTTCACGCTAAAAATCAAAGGACTAACATATAATTAAAGGAGTTTCTCTATATGAAACTACCACCTTAATTTAATACAGATAAAGTGCAGATATGCTGACAGGACAGTCTCTTCTGGTCATCTGAGCTGAGGAGTGAGTAGCTGGTGAGCAGGCATGGTCATGTTATGAAGGAGCATGCTGTGGTCACCCATCTTGGCTATTTTGTGGCTTGACTGGTTTACAATAAGAGCAAAATGGGCTGGAAATGTGTTTTGGGTGGGTTAGAACTATGACCCAAAATGTTCTTTTCTCCTTTTTCCAGCTTTTAATCTTTTCTTAGTCTTGAAATTAAGTTGTAATGTTGCTCTCGGGCTGTGTGAATGTAGCCTGAAGCAAAGAAATGTGATTTGGATCCTGATAAATTGTTTATATAATACTGCTGTATATCAGGAATAGTTCTATTAAGGCTAAACTTAAGTTTGGGTCAGACAGTGACAACATCTCAAGAAGTCTCTGATGACATGTCTGTTATAGTTCTTCAGGACTCGCTGAAAGCTGATGAGTACAACATGGGCATCTTGCTATCAATATATGCTACATATTATAAACAAATATATTGTTTCTTTTAAGTAAATGTTCTATAACTCTGGAATTTCAGTAGCACCTTTAGGAAAGCATCTTCACTTGTGTTTCATTCACCACTAATTTACTGGAAAGAGATCTTTATTCCCAGGTGAATTGTATATAGCATTATCTGCAAGAGTCAAAGAGAAGTAAGAAGCTGTGAGATCCTCAGGGGCTGGTGTTGTGTTTATTGTGTGAGCACCTTCACAGGTTGAAAAGCAAAAATAGTCCTGTCTCTCAGAGAAGGTTTAGGGAAGTCTTTGTACAACAGGTTTTATTGCTTGTCAATCAATAAATGTGTGATAATATCTCCTAATCTGCCGAAGAGGGTTTTAAGGCTAAATGATCTTAACGAGATTTGGAAAATATTGCCTAGTGCTGGTCCTGGTATTAATTGTTCTAGGGTAGTTTCAGAGCAAAGAGATCATTGTCACCTCTGTGCCTCTTAGTGCTTCAGTGAAGGCTACGTAGACTCTTGACTTTTTTTTTAAGATGTTTTATGTACAATGAAGTTTTGAGGACTAGCTTTGTATAAAAACATCCCAATAACCCCCAACAATGTTCAAAAAAAAAAGAAAAAAGTCTGTCATCAGAGAATCTAATATACTGCAGATAATGTGCATAGTCATTTTAAAAAGTTACTATTTCAGTTTTCAGGCCTGTTAAAAGAGGGAAGGGCTACCCCAAACAAGCAGCGTGATTCCTGGTCTCACACAGTGAGTCCTCACTCTGGGTTGTGGAGTGTTGTGTAAATTCCTGTTCTTCTTTTCTGGTGACTTGTTCTTCTATCCATGCCTTAAGGGCTGATAATTCAGAGTTTGCTGTTCAGGGAGCATGTGAGGAGAGCTGTCAAGGGCGGGGTAAATCTATATTTACATTTTCAGTCATTTATACTAAAAATATTGAATAACAAGTATGAGTTTGCCTTAAAGGTGAGCAAACGCTAGCAGTTTTCAAGTATGAAGAAGCTCAAATTGTATCTGTTGAAACAGTTTTCATTCCTTTTCTTGTATCTGGATGCTAAAAGTCTCTTCCCTCATTTTCCTTAAGGGGAAATGGCTTAGAAGTGGGCAGTGATGGGGAAGCTCAGCTTTCTGTTCCTGCCTAGCATATACGTTGGTTCACTTTAGGTGCCCTCAGAGCAACCACAGTAGTGTGGTTTCTTGCCTGCTCATCTACCTCTTTTTGGTTTTGTTTTTTTTTTTTTTTTTTTTGTTTGTTCCTGCTTCTTCTATATGGGAGGTGGGTCAAGGTCTTGAGGTTAGGTAAGGAGAAGGGGGAGCAAGGTGAAGGGATGGGTGGGAGACACTGGTTTTACTGGTGCAGGTACGCAGGGCACGTTTTTAGGAAAGCTGCTTTTGCTTGTTCCACTCTTTAGATACACCTCTTTACTTGGGTGAGCAAGGATGAGGACTTTTCCCATCTGTTTAAATTACCAGATTTCCTGTGAGTTTACATGTGGACTGTGACTTTGTTTTCAGTGGTTTTATTTAACTTTTTTTTTCTTTGAGAGCCCTGGAAATTTTTCAGTGCTTGCTGGTCACAGCAGAGCTGAGATCCTGGCTAAGATTTGAAGTGTTCCTCCGTTTCCCTTTGTAGATAGTGTTGCCAGCAGGGACTTCCCATTTTCCCATTGCTGGTCAGAGCACCCAGGGAAGCAGTCCTGTGTTCTGAGTTACTAGGCCAGGAGCTAATACAGCTGCCTGTATCCCAGAGTTCATGTACCTCAGTCCAGCATCTCTAAAGTGAAGTGATCCTGGCAAAAAAAGAGGAACTAGGATAATTTGAGTACATCTGAGGTACTTCTGTACTGCTGCTGAGAGTAACGGGCATGCTGGAGGCAAGATGGACAATAGTGCTGTGGACCCAGCTTTCAGGAGTGAATAAAACTGGTTTTATTTCAATGGCTTTTGAAACCCTGGGGAGGGGGCAGAAAAGGGATGTCACAACAGTGTAAAGTGTAACTTTATTTGTAAGAGCTCCTTGTTTGAAGAAGTTTAACTATCCAAAACTAGAAAGGGTTAGAAGGCTTTCTGGTAGCCAGACTCTACATGTTCACATCTTCAGATGTAGAGTAAGACATGTTAAGTTTAAGATGAAACTCAATGACCTCTGGTCATTTTATGACACATAAAATGTGTCCATACCTTTTATCCAGCTTTAATTATATTTGGCTTGAAATAAAACCTATATGTTAGTGGAGCTTCTTGTTAGGTACAAGAAGAAACTTGAGGAGATATGGAGGGACTGGACTAAGATGCAGAGTGATGTCAACAGCCCTCTCATTTTATTCTTGCAGTATGCATCTTGAAAGATTGAACAGCGTTTGTTTCTAGCAAGGAGTGTTTCTCTAATGTTTGGAGGTGGGTTCAGCTTCTTTCTAGTGGCAATAAAATTTCTGTGGTCTTGAGGGCCAAACAGCCCACATGGGACACACTGGAAGAATAGAACTGGGCGGTTGTGAAAACGATGGCACATCACTAAGTTAGTAAAATAAAAGGTTGAGGAAGGGCACACAAAAATACACAGTAAACTGAAGTTTAATTGGTGGCTGATTGTTTCTGTGTGTTGTGTACTGGTTTGAAACAATGGACCTCCAGCATCCTGGAGGTTGATCCCTTCTCTGCTGATCCCTTCTCTGCTGATCCCTTCTCTGCTGATCCCTTCTCTGCTGATCCCTGCAGCTGAGTTCTTGTGTGATCCTGGGTAAATCATACAGCCTTTGTCTCCACTGTGGAGTTTAAAGAAAAAGATCTCTCATAGGACTCTTGTTGGAAGAAGAAGTTAATAAATAAATACTCTGGAGGTATGTAAGTGTAACAGCATTGCATTAACCATGCTTTCTAGCATTGATCTGTAACTTGAGCCAGTGTGGGTTTAAGATGGTGACTGCAAGCCAGTACATTCACCTTGTAATTTTTGAACTCAATCAATAAAATTGTTTAACTCTCCATTGATCAAAAATTGATTGTTTTGGGAACCACCATCTTTTTCAGATGCTTTCCAATTACTTCACTGCTAGAAGGGTATCCAATTCATCTATAGGCTGTTAGTGAAGTTTATGACCCATGTTATTTAAGATGTTTGTGTAGACATTTTAAAGAGCATTAAAATTAATGAAATGGAGAGCTGATTTGGGTAAAAGAGGTGTTGCAATATTAACTTTTTCCTTTTTTTTTTTCCCTTGTGTAGCTATTGGCGAATATGAAGAACTTCGAGCAGAAAACAAGAAAACGAAAGAAGAGGTTTGTATCTATTGATTATTTCTTTAATACTAAAATGCTAAATATCAGAATACCTAATTGACTGTGGTGGGTTGTCTGATTTTGTGAGCTCAGCTGATGACTTACAAGTATTACTTGTAACTCCCAGAAGCTATTCTAGCTTTCCAACTCCAGAAAAGTTGCTACTGTAGCAAATTTGCTTATAAGTACCATGTAAGCATAGACCAAAACCCAAGTGTTCAGATATTCTTAGAAAAACTTGTTCCTCTTGGATCTAAACCTTCTTTTATTACAACTTGAGTTGCACAGTGAGACTTCTTACTGCAGAGAAAATAGAACAACTCTCCTCACCCAACCTTTCTAAAAATTCAGAATGTAGGAGTATGATTTCTGAAGGTATTTAAAGTCTTCCCCCTTCCCTCACACTCCCCCCATAAAAAACCCAATTTTTAACAGAAGAGCAAGTTGTAGGTATTTAAAAGACATATAGATGAGGTGCTTAGGTTTTGTGGTGGACTGCCTAGTGTTAGGTTAATGGTTGGACTTGTTGGTCTTAAAGATCTTTTCCAGCTGTAACGATTCTATGATTCAGCGTCTTATCTCAACTTGCACAGTTGAACTGCAGCATAAAATGGGTTTGTAGCATATCACACATCCTTCTGTGAAATGTGTGTGTCTGACCAATTTTGAAAGAAGCTTTGCATGTATGAACTTCATGCATTACTGCAGGCTTCTATTATTAATGTTCAGAGCTACTGGAGTAAGAAATAGTGACTGTTTCTAGATTGCTCATTGTAATCATGATGAAATGTCTTTCAAGTGGTAAAATTAAGCACATTTGGTAAGCTATCTCTTCCCACCCAGGACTCTTGTGAATTCAACACAGCTGCTTTCTGCAAGGAAACCAAGGGGAACAGAGAACTCAGAGAGATTTTATTGCTGTGTCGTGTCACATAAATCCCTGTCAATGTGCAAAAGGTTTTTAGCAGGTATCTGCCAAAAGAAACTGTGGCCACAAAAAGCCTCTTATCAGTTCTAGATAGTGAGAAAGGCAGAGGAGTCAGTGCTACACTGGGTTGTAAACACAGGATTGTCCTTTCTGCAGGATTAGTGAGCTGAAGATGCAAGAAACATGGTAGTTTTCAAACCCTGGTTAGCTGCCAAGGCATGTCAGCTTAATTTAGCTTTTTGTGAAGTTATTTCTGAAGGGTCACCTTTAGTCCAGTTGTTGCAATGCCAGGCTGCAGTGGGAAGACGTTGTCTGTAACTATTTTCTCATTATTAAAGAAAGCTCAAAGCTTACCTGAACATCACACTTCAGCAATGATTATGTGTATTCCCACTGAGCTCAGCATATCGTGCCTCACTCCCTCCTACCCACTGACCTCCTTGTCTTTTTCACTATCTTGCTGCTGCATTCCTGTTCTGTTGTCCCACACCTGAGCCTCTCATAGTCTGCAAAATCTGTCCTTAATTTCTGCTTTTTGGAAGACTGTGGCAGTTCATTTCCTATTGCTCAGAAGGAAAGGAGAATGAAACTTGAGTTAGACCAAGAGTCTGTCTAGCCCAGTATCCTGTCTCTGACAGCAACAGAGGAGAGTAAGGGCCTGTGTAACACCTCCACAGAGTAGGAGTCCACACTTTCCAAACCACTTGCAGCCTGGGGACTTCCTCCACTGTGTGTGTTTCAGTGTGTTCTGCCCTTCACAGCTCTCTTCCTTGAATCTGTCCCATCACCTCCAAGCCCATGCTGGTTGTTGGCTTCCACCACATGTGAGGAGTTCCACACTAGGACTGTCCACTGCATGAAAAACAGAGTTCCCAGCTTTGCCCTGACCCCCAGTGCTGCTAGTCTTGGTGTTTCTTCAACAAAACTTTGTTTAGTTTGGAGGCTGGGGCATGAGGAGATTTTTCTTGAGCTGTGTTTTTATTTAGAATTTTTTTTTTCTTCAAAGGCAATTCTAATGAAAAATTCTGTTGCTAAAATTGAGACGTTCTGAGGTTGTTTCTTCAATTCTGCTCCTTTTTCTTCCTTGCTCCTCTCTTTTACAAGACTTCTTTCCCATAGCTGCATTTCTCTAGCCACTCCTGTGTGTTTCTTCTGAAGGCTGGTATGATGTTTTTCAGAATACTTGCATAATAACTGAAAATCCTCCACCCTGAGCACATGGGGATTACATTCCCAGTCCGGCAAATTAGTTAAGCACGTGCTCAGGCTTGGAGGATTTTCAGTTGTTATGCAAGTATTCTCCATCCAAGAACCTCCATCCTGCAAACTGATGTGCTTGTCTAAGCAGTCCTGCTTAATTGTTTTAGTGCTTGGACTCAAGTGGTTAAGTGTGAGGCCCGAAGTGTGTTTCTTCAAAAAAAAAAAAAAAAATCAAAAATCTACTGATACAGAGTTCATGGTTATGTTTGCTTACAGTGCCAATACTGGAAGAAACTATTCCTGGTGTTACTGCAGGGCTGGGTAATCCTGAAAGCTTGTTAGTGTATCTCTAACTTTACTTCTTAGTTTGTGCTTTGCAGGATCAAGGAAGTGTAGCACAGGCTCTCTCTGCCTGCGGGTCTGGGAGACTGGGAGGGACTTCTGTTCCAGTTTCTGCCTCTGTCAGTATGAGTGTAAACAAATGACTTCCTCCATATCAATCATCGTCACATAATTGCACTGATAGGAGGAAAAGAGCAAACTGATCTTTTGGAAGAAGACTTGCAGCCTATTTGTGGAAAGTAGCCCATAGGAGTTAGAAAAAAATTCCACTGAGTATATCCAGAACACATACATACAAAGTCACCACTGCACTTGTATGGTTCTGAAAGATGAGCTGTGTTGTGAAGAAGTGATCCTAGTTCATATTAGAAATGAGGAACTTGGTAATAATGGGCAGCTAATTTAGAATAAGATGTAATTTTAATTTTTGAAAGTTTATGCTCTCTGTTCCATATTTTTTTCTTAAGGTGAGAAAGTAAATTGACTTCTATGTAAATTACTTTGTTCAAAGCACCATTGCTTAGAAGTGAGCTAATAACCATGAGAATTCAGGAGCAAAATACAAGATCTTTTATCAGCAATGTCTCTTCCTCATTGCCTTTCTAAACTGCCACATTAGAGGTGGCTGGTGGAGTGGCTGACAAAATTGTTGTGGGTGTTGTTTTTCAAAAACGGTAGCAAAAAATGAATACTGGCAGAATACTTCTTCATCCTTTTAATTGAAATAGCCAACTAAACATGCCAGTCCCCAAAACACAGATAACTAAAGCTCAGTTGCACACCAGTGCAGATAATCTGGTATGCAGTTCTGACGTATTCAGAGTCAGATCATGAATAAATATTTGACTACTTGCTAATCAGACAGAAATGACTCTGAACGCTGGTTTTGACAGTGTTTTGTCATGCTGCCAGTGGGGGGGAGGGGGAAAGGCAGGACAGCTTTCCAAAACAGTAGGTGTAATATCGTGTCTCTGATACATCATTCATAGTCTTTGCTCTGCTAAAGCACATGTATAGAGTGGATTATATGTTTTGTCACCAAATGGGAGTGGAGATGGGATTCTGCCTTGATGACATGCTCATTCTTTCTGTGAGTACAGCAAATGTCATAGGCTGCTTGGATAACCCTATCAAACTCATAATTTTAAAACAAGCATTAAATCTGCATAAATTTCACAATGTGTGTAAGTGGGAAAGAATGTATCTTGTGTTGCTTAGCAATGGCTTAATTGACTATATGGCTACTACGTGAGCTTCTTGCATCTTAATATCTGGATTGAACAATCTCTCTCTTGTTTTTTGCCCTTTGAAGGCCTTTTACTGAGGTCAGTAGGAGCTTATGTGCAAAATAGTTGGCAAAAAAGAAGCCTGTTAGAAGTGAATAGACAAGAAACCCAGGCCTCCCTGGAATTAGTGGCAAAGAGTCATTAGGCTGGTGGGAGTTTGTGTGTGGAGAGTGTGCATCAGCTGGCTTCCAGGAGCTTGTGTGCATTGACTCCCCACATCCTGAGGCAGTGTCAGGTCCCCGTGATGCTGTGATACTCCTGCTGTTGTGCTAGCTCCAAGTATGGGCCAGGTTCTTGAACAGCCCTTCACCTCCCTGTGTATGCAGTAGGTGGTTTGAACACCAATCTTTGATGTGTGTTAATTTGCTTCTAAAAATACAGATGCAATATCTTTATTGCTAAGAAATTACTGTTGACTGGTACAGCTGGTTCAGGACTGGAATGGGGATATTGTCTGTTACTTTTGGTTTCTTATCAGGATAAAGGTGCTGTAAATATTAGATGAAAATATAGTAAATAAAACGATGTAGATGCTTGTTTTCCTCTGTGAAGAAGCTGGAACTCTTAACAAAATAAAGTTAAAACCAGAAAAATTACTGACAATCCAGGAGTTAGCCACTTTTTTTCTTCATTAGACAGTACTCTTGAGTATAGAGCTACTGACAAGGAAGACTTAGCAAATATTCAAAAACTGTTTCTCCTCAACAGCTGCATGCACTTGGATGTGAAAAGTGAGCAGTAGGCTTTACAGTAATGTTACACCGTTTGCCTTTTAACATTTAGAATTAGTGATATTCCTGTCAATTAACTAAGAACTGCTGGCTATGCCTCAAATTGCTTTTTTGAAAAGTGACATAGATGTGAATTTTTGAAGGCTTCTGTGCAACTTTTTGAGAGCAGCTAACACTTCTAAATTTTAATTTTTTTTTTAAACTTGCCTGCTTTAAAGGTAAGGTCAATTTATTTTAAGGGCTGACAGTGTTTTTTGTTATGAAACTTAATTGCTTTATATGAATATTTTGTTTGTGTAAGTTTCCAGTTTGAAACAGTACAAGCAGTTAAAGACAGTCTCAACCGTGTCTAATTCTTAGCTACATTTGTGATAAACTAGGTTTTTTATTGGTAGGACTTGCAAGGGTCTGATTGCAAGGCAAAAGGCAAAGTGCTTTCCACTGATCATTTCAGCAAGGGCAGCAATCTCCTGCTCTCCTTTTCTTCCTGCTCTTTCATTCTGGAGCACAGTAGCAGCAAAAGGAAAATACTCAGAAAGCTGCAACCTAGAACAGGAGCTGCTCTGCAGAGCCCCAGACCTGCAGAGCCTGGTTGTGCAGAGGGACGTGCGTGGCAGTCAGGAGAGCAGTCAGCTTGCTGTGGTCCAAACGGAGCGTTCTCTGCAAGCAGCACTCACGGTGAGGTGGGGTAGGACATTGAACTGCCCCTGTCGCTGCCACAGGGAAGCTGTCACGCCTTACAGTGCATTGCTGGAGGTTTTTTTATCATTGGGATGGGGCAGTGTACCACATCCTCAACACCAAGGTTTCCATCAGCAGGGAAGTGTCTTCTTAACTTTCCACAGGCAACAGATCATATCCTTAAAACATTAATTTTCCTGATTTTTAAACTGAGCATGCAAAGCGCTTGCTGGGTGACTCTGCAGTGGGCTGAAAGCTTTCAGCGTGCAGGAGAAATCTGTGGGTGAAGTATGCCACTGTGGTTACAGTGTCTCTCTTGTAACATGAAGAGGCAGCAGCTCACGCTGATCCCTGTTTTGCAGTGGAGCTGTGCTCTGCAGGAACAGTCAGGAATTCTCTCTGTGTCTTTTACTGCCTTCTATTAGACTGCACTTCTACCAATAAGGTAAGATGAATTTTTCCTGAGGAAACCGAGAGGGAGGGCAGTGAGCAGCAAGATTCATGCAGATTTCCCTTCCCCACCTCTCCCATACAAGATGTTTAAACGGCTTCTCTGTTATCAGGGCCAGATGAAATGGTGAGTTCTCATCTGGCACTGTTGCTCAGCTCCTCTTGCTTCTGCTGTAGTTGTGCCTTGTTTCACAGACCTGTGAAGCAACCGGTGACTGACCTGTTGCCCTTAGCTGCTGTCCCTTGCCTCATCACCCCAGTGCCAGGAGAAGAGAGACTGCTTGTTGACAGCAGCACTTCTTGCTCCCAGATAGCCAGCAGCAGCTTCCAAAACCTGCCTGGAGGCTGCCCCTGAGGCGACACCATCCTCCCCTTGCCCAAGAGTAGATCCTTCCTTGGGCTTCATCCGAGGCCCTTTGGAGCTGATAGAAGGGCTCTCTTGAATTTGAATCAGGCTCTCTCCCTTCTTGTTACTTAACATCAGGCTACTTTCCCAGCTAACTCCAAGTGGGTTTTCATGTGGAAAAACTGAAAATCAAGCAAGATAATTTTAGTGTTTTTTTTTTTCCCAGTTCTGTTCCTTGTAATTGCAGTTACAGTGTAAAGAGCTCAGTCGTGCAGATCTCTTCCAGAAGTCCAGACGTGGTCTCACATTGATTTGTTCCTGTGGACGTACACAGCTGTGTGTGAGGAAGGATGTCTGGGAGGCCGTGTGTGCAGGACATGTTGTGTGGCAGTCATACTTCCCCCCAAGTCATGTGTTCTTCACAGCGTGGTTAATCACTGACTGAGTCTCTTGTGAAGTTTACTCATTTCTTCAAGTTCTTTCTTTTGCTTATAGAAGGGGTTTTCTTTGAGAAGTCTGTTTAATATCTGTTCTGTTCTTTCTCTTTGAGGAAACATTTCCATCATAAGATCAGTGATTGCAGCCCTGTGTAGTATTAGCATTCACCTCCAAATTAATAAAACTGGGGTGATGGGAAATCCTTGAGTATGAAAAATGAGTGTTTTCCCCTCTTCTGTGTCAAAGCTTTGCTCACAGTGTTGTGAAACCGAGCAGCATGTTGCTGTTTGTTGGCTTTGAGGTTTTCCTTGCACATGGTAAGTATAGGAATGTAGGCCTCTTTTCCAAGTCTATTTGTGTTAAAGAAACTAGACAAAGCATATTCTTGTCATGAAAAATATTGCTTTTACTGTTCTGTGGAACTGGGATGACTGTTTATATCAGTTTTAAGTAATGTGGCTCTTCTAAAATATTTTTAGAGTAGCTCTGAATTAGAACCTAAAATCAAGTGCTACTTGCCAGTTTGGTTTGGAAATAGTTTGGTTGATGAATTTTTTATGTGTAAGTTTCATTGATCATACATCAGTGAGAGCAAAAAGAAGTGGTGCTTTGATAGGCTCCTGCACGTTATTGGGCCGGCAGTTGATCTCTGTTGATTTTGCATGTTGTGACTGGCTACTAATTAAATAACTGGGATCAGTGTTTCATTTCAGTTTTCTCTTCTACAGTGTGACAAAATCAAGCAAGAACGAGATGAAGCTGTCAAGAAACTGGAAGAGTTTCAGAAAAGTAAGTTGGTAATGTTAGCGGGAATTTTTGGGTATGGACAGTTAGGAAGGTTGCTCTGAGCACTCTGCAGCAGTGTTAAGAATGCTGAGGGTCAGGTCCACTCGCTGTTTCTCCTTCAAAACCTTGTTCTGAGGAGCTAATCTGGCGAGACTTTGGCCGTGGTCAGACTAACTACTCTCACAGCATTTGTATGCTCTGACACAGGTAGCCATTCTTAAGGTGCAAAGGGGTGAAAATACAGTGGTAGAAAAGCAACTCTGTCTCACCTGGAACCTGCAAGTGACTTTTGGGATGATATATGCTTGGATTGAGTGGGGTTTGACCCTATTGCTGAGATTAATGGCAATAATAATGGTAATTTTTCAGGAAGAAGGAGTAAAATTACTTTAAGCATAGATATACCAGTAAAGTTTTTTAGGAGGTACTGTTGTCTCTCGATAATTTTTAGAGCAAGTTCAGTCTTGTCTGTGCTGTGAGAATGTCAATATTCAGTTTTACACTTTTATGGTTATGGTTCTATTGAAATTGTATGGTGTCTGGAAGCAACAAAGCACATCTAATGGGAGTGGAAGTATCCTAGTGGAATAGCTCCTTAGAAGAGACAGTTTCAATAGGATTGTGGTCTGTTGTGTCTGGTTTGTGCCAGTACGGTGAGCTGCACAACGAAGCATCAGAAAAGTGGATGAAGTTAATGCAGGAGAAGGAAATCACATGGTCTACTGTTAATAGAAGTTTGCTTGCTTCTATTTTATAATTGTTATTATGATACAGTTAGGGAAAATCATCTAAAATCAACAGGAATCGCCTACTGCTTTAAATGATCTTAGATCACTGTTCTGTGAGGCAGGAATGTTTTCTAAGAAGTCCAATTCCTCTTGAAAAAAAATGCAGCCTGTTTTGTTTTTGTTATGATATGAAGAACACCAGAGTGTGGCAGAAAATGTCAAGTAGTTAAGACTTAAAATTTGAAGTAATATTTGATGTTGTAAAATTTTATAGGTTTCTTTTATCTTCCTTTCACATTTTTAAAGGACATACCTTGTAAACATAGTGATAAAATGCCAGGAATATTAGGATTTTAAGGCAATAATAGAGCCCATTATTTAAACGACAATATAAAAGGCAATTATATTGATGAAGAGCTACATTGGCTTTGTGTCTGTGAATAAACTTGGCCTGTACTCAGCTTCTATTTGTTCTCCTGGCATAAACACATATTGTGTGTGATTCCAGTTTAATGGGGCCCCGTTTGTATGCCAAGCAGCTGCATTTTAGGCCCTATTGCGTGATTTCATAGCTCTCTGAAAATTGGTTCTATTGAGCACAAGAGATAGAAGGTGGTGGTGGGGGGGAAAGCTTCAACACACAATCATTTCTTTTCAATTGGAGCCAGCAAGGTTGATGACAACATGACCATTGTGTTATAATGATAAGACCACTAAGGATCTGTACCTCTCATCAAGGCTTTCACACAACAGCAGATACAATTTAATTCACTGCTCTGTCAGCAGTGCTGATACCATTATGCCGTCTGTCTCCACAGTTATAATCACTGTCCTCCGAGAAATGCAGTTGAAATGATCTTGAGCAGTCAAAGAAACTCTCAATTAAGGCTGCCACTTCCAATGTGTCAGATTGTGTCTTATGCACTTGGTACAATTTTCACTTCCAATCCTGTTTATTTACAATGTCTACCAGTAATTACGCTTAACATGTCATTTAGTGAGGGTGCCCCTGCCAAGGAGATTGTTGGGTGCTGCAGTGCCATTGAGGGGGAGTTTCTCGCAGTCAATGCCATCAGCGGCTTTTAGTCCCTGATGGGATGCAGTAGTAATGTTGATAATGCAAGTATCGTGCTCATCAAGTCATAATTAGATGCCACTCAAATGTGCCACTTGTAATAACAGTGTTGATTCATGTTTTCTCGGTGACTGCAACTACTAATTAGTTAAGTGGTTTTTGGTTGGCCTGCATTTGCTGTGGATTATTATTACCCCTGAAAAAAACTGTCAAGGTTAGAGATGTTTCAGGCCACTTAGTGCTGCTTTATGAATTTTAATACTGACATAATAAGAACTTTGGACAGACTTAGGAAATAATATATTTTTGTATTTAATTTGGAAAGATTTTTTTTTCCCCGAGTTAATCATAATTGCAGGTTAATTAAGTTTAAATGAACCAAGAGTAATCCCTAGTTCTGCCATGTGAGCCCAATCCTTGTTTCCTAACTTTAGCCTTGCTTGAGGCCATTAGATTCCTGCCTGTAAAATGGCAGCAGCTCAGTATCTCCACTGCTCCCTCCTCCTGCCCAAAGCATTTCATTACTCCAAATTCCCAGACCTAAGGAGGGTAAAACTGGGAGAGATATGGACATGTACTGCCTGAAGCTCTTCTTCTCTCAAATCAAATGGAGCAGCTAGTAAGCTGGTTTCAGCACGCTTGGAGCAGATAGTGTCTTCAACGTCAGAAAAAAAAGGAAATAAAAAGACAACCAAAGAAAGAGGTGGTTTTGCTCTGCTGTTAGACTTCATGTGAACATAGTCTGTGGATAGAAGACTTCATGTGAATATAGTTTTTGGACCACGATTTCCCAGTACTGTGCCCTGTGTGGGTTTGTGTGTTTTGGTGTGGTGTTTTTATTTTTTTTTTATTTTTTTTTTTTGTCTCATCTGCTTATGTTTTGTAGAACTTGTTTCTTGCATGGAGCTGCTGATTTGACAGGAAACGCCAACTTATTGCTGATTTCCTATGTTATTAATGAAAAAGTTAGTTAATATGGACTAAACGTCTATAAAGCTGCATAAATAACACTTGTAAATGCCCTACTTTTTCCTCTCCTAAAGTCCTGTTTTGTAGTAATTAAGATGGCCTCTAGTAAAAGTAACTCTTTTTGGCAAAAGTCTTGGAAGAGGGCAAGCAAAATGTTCTACTCAGTAGGAAATCACTAGGTTTTAAAGCTTATCTTCCTGAAAATGAAAGGAGATACTTTCCTCCATATTTACACGATATCCTTCCAGCCTTGTTCCTGCTCCAAGGTATCGTTCACCTGCAAATAGTCCTTTCTGCACATTGAAATCCTGACAGTGAGCTGAGAAGAGATCTGTGTCATGAAATGCCTTGCAGAACTAGCATCCAGGAGCCAAGGAGGAGCTGCATCAATGAGCAGGGTGCTAGTCTGAGAAATGGGAAAATATTGTTAGTTTTTATGTTTTGCTCCAGAACCTCTGTGCAACTTAAAGCTTGTCACTTAGAAGACTTCCAACTCTAGTAGTAAAGTACCTGTGTACTGCTGCAAGCCAGAATGTGTCTGTGCCTTTAAATTCCCACCAACTCTCGTTGATATTGTGTGTCACAAAATGAGACTTGTTCCATAACTTTTTGGTTACTCTGAGAATATGGCGTAACTTCAATCTAGTGATGTGTACCTGCTCTGCTAACAGGGATCCTGTAAGTGCAAAGGACAGATGTCTCTCACTCTTCCAGCTGTGACGTCAGGGGTAGTGGCACAGCCATGCCTTTCAGGTGCACTCACACAGCTTGCTGCTGGCCCAGCTCTCATGGAAGGTGGTGTGTGTGTGTGTGCGTGTGCAAGCTGGTGTCTGAATCTTTGTTGTGGACTGCGAAGGTAAATTGTGAGACCATGGTGATTATCTTAGGGCTTGCTCAAGCATAGAGAGGCTTCAAGTAAGAAACAGTTCAGACACTATAGCCATCATGTAGTAGTACAGTACTTGGATTGTCAAAAATGAGGTGGTGCCAGCAGTGTTGAGTTGCCATCAGGACTGTGTACATCAGGGTGCATCCCAGCTGCTGCAGGTAACTTTGAAGCTGGTGGGGCAGAATGAGATGAAGGAACTGTGCTGTGGTAATAATTTGGCTTCATTGGAGCATGTCCTGTAGGAGGCACTGTGAATGTGGAGGCTTCAGTCACTTACTTCCATTCTCCATTTCCTAGTAAACTTGCCCCAGGCCTGTACTATATGTCCGCCCTGCAGCTCTTCTTGTACACTGTGTTTATCAGGTGTGATGATACTTAAAATACCATGTAAACATGAAGAACAGAAGGTAAAAGTCTTTGTAATGCACCTGAGTTAATCTTGCTGTTGAAAAATATTGAGGTTCCAATCTTCTGAAAACAGCATCCATACCATGTTTTCATGAGGATTATGATGCCAATCATGAGGAACAATCCTAATGGTCTCATTCTGATTCCTCAAGTGTCAATGAAATAGAGATGATGAGTGATGGTGGTCAGGGAGGCTCCTGCTGGCCACCTACTTCCATCAGTTTATGCTCAGTTCTCCAGTTTCCCCTCAAATGCTGTGGACAGGGCTTGAAAGAGTTTCTTAATGCGATGAACCAAATATTCAGTGTTCAAAACGGTTCCTGTCCATGGAGATAGTATCTAAGTACGTACTTCCCTGTGTTTGAAATACTTACATAGAAGGTTAACAGAAAGAGAGATAATATTTCTGATCATGGGATCCATGTGTCAAATGCAGGAAAGCACTGACTAATTTTTAAACTCTTCCCCTAGTTTCTCACATGGTTATTGAGGAAGTGAACTGTATTCAGAACCATCTTGAAATTGAGAAGACGTGCCGTGAAAGTGCTGAGGCTTTGGCTTCTAAGGTGAGAAGAATTACGGTGGTTTGGTTTCAACTGATTTCTTTCTCTCTTTTTTTTTTAAAAACTTGAGTTTGTATGCTTGTCCCATATATATATATATGTATATATATGGAGGTTTTTTTTCATATAATTTGCAGATCTGTGAAATTATTTTGAAGTGGCAGAAATTATAAGCCATATGTGAGATGCAGAATACAATTCCTGCCTTCAAATTAAAAAAAAAATTACCCATTCTAATTTAGTTTCTATTTTGGAACAGTAAGTCATGGAGCAGCATCCTGATACCCAGTTTTTATATGCATGTAGGTTAAATGGAAAACAAGTTTTTTAAAACTGTCCTATGTGAGATATAAAACAATAATGAGCATTTCAGTGTCTAAATAAAATGGGAGAAGTCAACCACTGCATTCCATTTCAGGTGATTGTTTGTGAAAGCAGAGCGAGGGCAGGGGAAAGGTGACCTCCGCTGCTCTGTTGATTGCGTCTAGTCTGATGAATTTAACAAGTGTGTAATTTTCTATATTCCATCTCATCAGAAGTGCATTATTATTAAAGAATGTTTTTATCTCTCTTATATATTTTTGGTTGTGTAAAATGCATCTGAGCCACTTCATCAGAAAATGGATTACAGCAATTTTGAACCAAATTTCATTAGCAATGCTGACTGCCTTCCCCCCCTTCCCCCCTCCCCATCTCCTGCCCAAAGTACATCCTTAGATATGGTAAAAATCACACCAGCAAGAAATCACTTTAATTTAGATGCATTAGCAGTGTACTTTCTGGAGGTATTTACTTAATTGTTTGCATAATGACACTATATTAGAATTCATAAGATAGACAATCAGTACATAAGGAAGAAAATGAATGTATTTATGCAACTTTTCTTCTTTGCTGCACTTTTCCTGTAATGCACGTACCGGGGCAGTTCAAAGAGAAGCTTTACCCCATGGGGCTGCTTTGCCCAAGCTGATTTCTTTGCTGTTGCGAGCTGACTAAACTATGGAAGGTTCTTCACACCACCCTTCCCACTTGCTCAGTTTCATTCTTTGGGAATGTGATGAAAAAATTCTTGAGTAAATCTCCCACAGCTGGGGGCTGAGGAAAAGGGACACCAGAGGTGATTGCTCAGGTGAAAATTCAGGGTAAGCATAACTGTACAGTGTATATTGTATTTGAGAGGTAAATATTGGGACTTCTGAAGTGCATGCTCACTTTGACATGTTGTACATCGTTAGTAGAAACTTGTCTCATTCTTAGACATGAATGCAGGCAATGCTTGCCTGGTGGGTGGGCAGTAACCCCAGCATACTCCTCAGACTGCTGAGCTTGCCAGAGCTGCTGGAGTAGCTAGATGCAGGACAGGAAATGGTGAGAGTAAAACATGGAAACTTAATGGAGTTCAACCAGGGCAAGTGTAGAGTCCTCCATCTGGTGAGGAAGAACCACATATACAGGTTAGGGCTTGACCTGCTGGCAAGGTCACCAGGGCCAGGCAGTCCTGGTGGAAACGTTGCCCATGAGCCAGCAGTGTGCTCTTGTGGCCAAGACCACAAGTGGTATCCTGGGGTGCACTGAGAGAGTGTGACCAACAGGCTGAGGGAGAACCTCCTCCCCCTATCCTCTGCCTTAGTGAGGCCACATCTGGAGTGTTGTGTCCAGTTCTGGACTCCCCAGTTCAAGAGACACGAGGAGCTACTGGAGAGAGTCCAATGGAGGACTGGAGCATCTCTTTTATGAGGGAAGGCTGACAGACCTGATTCTGTTTAGCATGGGGAAGAGAAGGCAGAGAGATCTTAGCAATGCTGAGAAATACCTAAAGGGTGAGTGTCAAGAGAATGAGGCCAGCCTCTTTTCAGTGATGCCCAGTGACAGGACAAGGGGCAACATGGAAAAACAAGAACACAGGAAGCTCCACCAAAACATAAGAAAAAACTTCTTTACTTTGAGGGTGACAAAGCTCTGGAACAGGCTGCCCAGAGAGGTTGTGAAGTCTCCTTCTGTGGAGACTTTCAAAACCTGCCTGGACGTAATCCTGTCTAGATGAACCTGCTTTGGCAGGGAGTTGGTCTAGATGACCTACAGGGGTCCCTTCCAACCCCTACCATTCTCTGATTTGAAGCAATCTCTGTTGTGTTGGTTTTGTTGGGTTGTTGGTTTGTTTTTTTTTTTTTTTTTGGCATCTTGATCAAGGTGGAGATGCCTTACAGAACATCTTCTGTATCATTCACCAACCAGTCATACATTTAAGCATCCAGCTCAGAGTGGTTTCTGACTTGTGCTTTGACCCATAAAGAATTGGTCTACGATACAGCTTTCATCTTACATATGTTGACTCAACAGTAATAGTTCTTGAGAACTGAAAATAAGTAAAAAAAAAATTTGAGGTACTTCTGTCATAAGTGGGAATACAGTAGTTGGGGTGTTTGTAGTTCATAAGACCAGTAAAGGCATAGAGCAATTAAGAGCTCTTAATTGATCAGTACGTATAGCTGGCAAAACCAGGTGAGCTTTCGAGGAACACAAGCTCTTCTTCATTCAGTTGAGGCTCACGTTCATGCTGGTGCCTGCTTCAGGGTAAGGAGCTGAAGCAGCTATCACAAAGAATGTGTAGCATTAACTAAACTTGATAGTTGATTTTATTTGAACCTACACAGGGCATTTATTAATCAGAAGTACCAGAGAGAAAGGAAGGGCATGGATGAAGCATCGTGTTGAATTCAAGCCTCCTCAGAGGAGAAAGTGGACAAGCTTTCCATCTTCAGGCCATTTTAATATTGAATGGAGCATTTAATCTAATGTTGCTTTGTCTTCTTTGATATATCTTCTAATAAAGGAGGAATAAAAAGCAGTTGACCTTTTTGATGCACAGCAGCTTAAAGACAGACTAACTCAATTCTTACTGTGTATGCTTCTTATCTTTCAGCTGAACAAAGAAAATAAGACCTTGAAAAGAATTAGCATGCTTTATATGGCAAAGCTGGGCCCAGAAATTATCACTGAAGAGATCAACATAGATGAGGACGATTCATCCACAGATACAGAAGCAAACTCTGGATCATGCAATTCTGTACACTGTCAGCAGCAAATAAAAGGTGAGTGTTGTTGCTAAGCCTACACCACCATACAAGGCGAAAGTTGTCTGAAGAATGGCAGTATTGGTTTGGACCAGAGGTCTGTCTGGCTCCATTACACACTTCTGAAAGTGGTCATCAAAGGATTCCAGGACAGACTGTGAGAACATGGTAGGCTTGTAGTGATACCGTGTAACGTATATGCTGGATATACATCCAGCCTGCAAGTAAGTTACAATGCAGTAGGAAAATGGGATCTACACAGTTAAGAGCTCAATGTTGCTGAGTTAGTAACAGAAATTTTTCCTCAGATCCTTAACAAAGTAAAAATTAAACAGAAGGACGAGGTCACCTTGGTATTGTTTCAACTGCAATGTCACAATTTCAAAGCTTGTAAGACAGGACTTTCCACTTCCATTGTATACCTTTGTATGCAGAAACTTCATTCTCATTCCAGAGCTACTGCCAAACAAGCAGCATAAAAAGGGACTGTTGTGCTGGGTGAAATAACAAGGCTTGGGAACATGGAAATGCATTGATAAGAGAGATCTGTGATTTATGAAGAAATTTTCTGCTTCCTTTTTGAAAGGCAATTTGTATGTCTGTAATCCAAAATCTGCCTTTCTTTCTTGTCTAAGTCTGTGATGAAGTCATTGTGGTGTCAGAGAAGGAAATTAAGTTGTATATGCTTTTTAAAAAAGCTTGTTTGTTTGTTTTTTTTTTTCTGATAATAAATTACTATAGCAAATAATATCTAAGTATAGCTGTCCTGAACTTCCAGCCTGACCTTGGTAATAGTTTGAATGCAGCAGCCTCAGTGAAGTGGTACAAAGTATCACTGAGAAAAAAGAAATAAAATGCTTAAAAAAAAATAAATTTCTAACCCATGAAAAAAAAACATGAAAAGAAATAAGATGTACCCTTCTATAATAAACATCTTTCCATTCTATAGATGTAGGGAA